ACAGACAGACAGACAGACAGACAGACAGACAGACAGACAGACAGACAGACAGACAGACAGACAGACAGACAGACAGACAGACAGACCAGCAGACAGACAGACAGACATAAGACAAAACAAAAGTGAGAGAGAAAGAAATGCGGTGAGAGAAGGAGAGAAAGAGAGAGAATGTGAAAGAAAGAGAGAGAGCAGGGTGAGAGAGTTGCACTTACCATAAGATCTCCAGCAGGGCCATGTTCCACATCATACTGCACTACAAAGCGACCTTCCACCCCATCAACTCCTTGGTCCTGAAGGGATGGTCTATAGATCACACGAGCTGTCTCAGAAGTCGGTCTATCTACTATGGTCAAACTGTTCTCCTCTGGGGACACAAAGTGAAATGATGTCATGCTATAGGCAAACTTTGACATGTATTTTTATTTGTGACTCAATCATAGACGTCAATTCTGTTTGAGTATATCTTTTTCATCTGATGTCCATTTTCTTTTACTTGTAGGTTGCCTTGTTCTATTTCTCACAGCAAATTTCAACTCTGAGCTCTTGATAATTAGACTCAAGAAAATGTGTGGCTTATTCGAAAAAAATAAATCTAATACTAAATACCAGCATTTCACATCTTTTCATTTTCCGTTTTTATGAAAATGTTTATTATATATTTCTTCACTGATGTTAATCATGTATCATACAACAAACTTTCACGATTTAAAAAATAAAATTCTTAGTTGTAAATGTTAGAGCTACCGAGTCCATGAATTTTGGCCCAGTAACATTTATAGAGTGAGGAGGTCCTTCAATTACCATCAAAGAGTTTTACATTTTGGTACAGAAATGTTGTAGTCTCTTCTATTGTCTAAGTAAGCTAACTAGTATAGGATCTAGGTCGAACTAAGTCGAATGTTACTACACATGGATTTAAAAAGGGCCAGAAATAAAAATAAAAAAATATGAAGAAACAAAATGATTTATTGAAAATGTACTTACCTTCAATCTCATTGGAGATAAGCGCATCTGTCCTCAAAGCTGGTGTACGTATGTACTTGATGGGAGTCTTTTCCTGGGGATACCAAAAAAGCCCAAGAACATTAAAACCAAGTAAACAAAGGTTCAGCAGTCCTGATGACCCAATGGGTTAATTTGGGTAACAAATATATTATGTTACTGACAACATTTTACTTTAAGATGACACACATTACAAGATACCAAGACAAATACATATCACAAATGCACAAACACACACACACACACACACACACACACACACGCACACA